CTGATGTTGTGAAGAGCTTGGAATTCGCACAGTTGTGGCGATTGCTAAGTAGCTTTTTCTGTAATACAAGTTTTAAAAGTCATGATGCTCATAATAATTTAACTTTCTTGCAGTTAACATCTCCTTTGGCATCAACAAAAATTGTGGATACTGATAACCAGAAATATCATGCTGAAGATGATAATTTATCCCTGGCATCTTCGTATCCTGCCTCTGAGCAACTTCCCGTTTTCCTTTGCACATATTTATGTAGAGTCACATATTCATACACAACTTGGAATATAAAGCAAGAACTGTCTTTTTGGTATAATGTCATATTTTGGAGTTACAATTGTGTTCCTACATGACGTTCATATGTTAAGTGTACTAAAAGAATGAGGCTGTGTCAGTGAATAGCTTCCTTGGTATAATAGGTATATTCTCTTATATTTTTTTCGTTACTTCATGGTTTGACCACTATATTTTGTTACCACTGTTATTACCATTGTTGAAGGCTTAAAGGAAGTCCACATCTCCATTCATGTCATATTTGTAAAGATACTCTGTCCTTTTTTACTATGAGATCACCTTAATGGGAATAGCAATATTTTTAACCCGCTTCATTTGTGGAGTCTTATTTTATGAAAACGGTTACATGATTTTATATAATTTACTAGAGCTATGTTACTATTTTATTGACTTGTTACAATGCACTTTCTAATTCGAGATTAGCACATGAATCTAGTGTGCATCACTGACTACAAAGCTATTTTGGGGAAATCAGCTTTCATCCCCTTAAGTGGGATGGGTTTGTGAGCATCTCACCTGTTAACTTAGTTGTAGTTCCTTGACACACATAGTGCTGCAACTTCCATACGGACAATCAGATCTAAGATCACTGTTGCATCTGCTCCAACATTTAGATGTGTTGAACGTCTTGAGAGACGCAAGGAGGTACTTTATTGGATCCTTAACTTTTTCTGTGGCTTGTTAGGGTCCCTCTCTTCAATCTCAAGGAGAAAACGAATTTGTGCCCTTGAAATTTAGAGTGTTGTCTACATTTTGTCTTTTTTAAGGCAGTTTTTGTACTTGGCTTCTTTTTTCCCTGTTTCAGTTTTACACGAAGTTAGACGAAAAACACAAAGCTTTAGAGGCAGAGAAGGCTGAATATGCTGCTAGAACTAAAGTATGGCTTTGCTAGAACTGAACCATGCTCCTAATGAAATTCTATCTCATCTTTCATTTATTTTTAATCTTGAATTCCCTTGTCTGCTGTAAAACATAGGAAGAAGCGGAAGCAGCCATTAAGCAGCTCAGGAAGAGCATGGTTGTCAAAGCAAATCCAGTTCCTAGCTTTTATCGTGAAGGACCACCTCCAAAGGTTGAACTGAAAAAGGTAATTTGATTTGGATAACCTTATTTCTCAAGGAGTCTTGAGTGACTTTAAGAAGTGAGGAATGTCTCACTTTCTATTTCCAAGCTCTTTTTGTGTTCCTACTGCAATATAAATGTACAAAATATGGTTAGTTTATGTAGCATTTGGAACTCTTCTGCTATAACATGTCTATGTCAAAGTTAGTTCCATTTGAATTGGTAAGCAATGATTTCAAGATTAGTGACCATATTGAAATTCAAGGTAAAAGGCTAATGGGATGGGAGAGTGCAGCACCTTTGTGCTTTTTGTCAACAGCTTATCAGCTTACAATTGAATATCTATTAAAAAAAATTGAAAACGTGATTGTGTTTAGTTGTTTTGAAAAAGCTAAATGCTCTTCTCAGAAGCATGGCAATGGCAGCGTTTTAGAATCATTTCTTTTTGTTTTTAATAATTTTATTAGCTTAAAATAAGGCTAAAAGCAGAAGCCATAATCAGTTGAAAACACCTTAAAACAGCTTTTAGCTTTGGAAAAAGCTCTAATCCACTGACTGTTTAATTATTGAGAACAAGAGCATCCTTTTTTACTTTACTGAGATAGGTTTTGGTGGGAAGGTCAGGGTTAATTCTTTGGATTCATTAGCTCTCCTGCTTGAATAAAATTGAAAAGCTCAATTTTTGATAAAAAAGTTATTATTGATTTACAAGCTTTTGCACGAAATGTTGAAGGCAGTTTAGTTTTGTGATAGTAAATTCCAGCAAAATATTTGTACACTTTATGCATCCCGGTTCTATACTGTGTGTGATTAACATATGTTGGATTTAAGTCCAGTTGCCAGTAACTCGTGCCAAATCTCCAAACCTAAGTCGGAGAAAGAGCTGCAGTGATGCTGCTAAGTCATGTAAGTCATCCACAGATGAAAAGGGGGCTTGTGCTCGGACAAAACGTCATAGCTTTGGGGTTTGCAAAGAAGGCAGTACTACACCTACTACCCCCAAAAACAAGGATGTGATTGGTGGCCGGAATGTAGCTGCTGGAATAAACAGAGGAGGCAGTTCTACCTCTACCAAATATAAGAACATGCAGAGCCGGCAAAGTCTTAATGGTGCCAACAGAATCAAGGATCAAGCAAAACAGGTTAAACAAACATCTAAAACTTCTGATGTGGTGCAACAGAATAATACAGATATTTCCGTTGTAGAAGAAATGACAAAGGTACCCGATCATATTGCTGATATTACTGTGGTTGAGGAGACAACAAAAACTTCTTATTCTGTGCCAGGCCAGATGAGCGCAGACAACGCTATTGTGGAAGATGCAAGAAAAGATTCACATATTCAGAAGGTGGCTTCAGATATTGCTGTGGAAACATGAACGATTTGCCCTTTTTTGTTTTTCCTTTTCACTTTGAAGCTAAAAGGGTCCTGAATTTCCTTAATTGCCAAAGAAGTATTGGCATGGTGAGACAGTCATTACCTTTCTTGACTGCGATGACTTGGTGAATTGTTGTTTAAACTTTTGAGTTGTATATTCGTGTAATTTATATTGCTGTAAACATTATATAGAAGAAACCTCCCCGGAAACGTTTTGTTAATATCATCTTGTTGTGGTCTAGTTGCTTACTTTCTGGTTCTCATATGCACGATATCGAAGGCTGTGGGGGATTGAAATCTGCGGTGATCATTGGATGGTTGCATTTTTCTGGTGCATGATGTTGAGTTATAGTGGTGTTTGATGATGTGTGGTTAGAGGAAAAATCCAAGGGGAAATGCTTTTCCTTTCGGTTTGCTGTTTTTCTTTTTCCACTGCTTCTTCTTAGATTTGGTTCTGATATTCTAGGGCGGTGGTTGGAGGATTCTGTTGCGGTTGCTTGGAATGTCCGAGTGTTATTTTGGCCTTGTGGACCTTGTCGTTGTGAATATGCCTAGTTCAGTATTAAGGTTTCACCCAAGTTTTAATACTCCTTCCGTCCCTTAAAAGTGTTATACTTGTCATCTTAGAATGTTACAAAATATTCGCTATGTTGCAAAAATTACAGTACATTTTAGTCTCTCTTTTTAATATAGTTATTTTTTCTAATCATATGTACGTTACTATTTAAATTTAAATTTTGAATTTGTAGAGGTAAGATTGAAAAGAAAAATGTAAATATCAAAATTTTTTAAAAAGTTGGATTTTCGAAATATAACTAAATAATTGGAATGTTACAAAATATTCGCTATGTTGCAAAAATTACAGTACATTTTAGTCTCTCTTTTTAATATAGTTATTTTTTCTAATCATATGTACGTTACTATTTAAATTTAAATTTTGAATTTGTAGAGGTAAGATTGAAAAGAAAAATGTAAATATCAAAATTTTTTAAAAAGTTGAAATTTTGAAATATAACTAAATAATTGGAATGGAAGGAGTGTAAATTACCGTCTTGTGTCCTAGGTGGTTGTGCTTGCATTACATAATAGGACTGGCAAACTACAGATGACAGATACCAAAATATTTGTAACTAGGATGAATAGAAACACCCCTTAGGTAGCTGTGTGTGTGTGTGTTTATTTCGAGTGGTTGAAAGAACAAGAAATTCGTGGAGAGGTTAATAGCTTGGAGAGTTTAGGCTTGTAGATGAGTGTTTCCTTTCCCTCAAAAAACTTGTTCCTACATCGACTTGTGGTAAAGCTCATGTGTGGTTCTTAAGGTCCTCAGTGGTAGTCAAAAGTTGGTACCTTTTGACTATTGCTGTGGATCTCCCCTTAGGTAGCTGTGTGTGTGTGTGTTTATTTCGAGTGGTTGAAAGGATGAATAGAAACAAAAATCAGGTGCACTATGGACCCGTTTCCTCACTGGAAATCCACTTGTTTGAGAAACAGAAATAGGGGGAAAATTGGCATTTGCAAATTTGCTTGTCTAATCATTTGCAAAATGGTATCTGTTTTTTCAAAATGGTATCATTTTTGCAAAATGGTATCTGTACATTGCAAAATGGTATCATTTGTCTAATCATTTGCAAAATAGAGTATCTGTTTTTTCTCAAAATCCCATTTCTACCACCTTTATTTTTTTTGGTTCATTAATCTATTTATTCTTGAACATATATGCCCAAAACCACGTGGCAATGAATTGAAGGGCCAAAATTTGAAGTAAATTGATTTCTTCTTAAAAAAGAAAAACGTTTATGTATAAAAATCTTCTTATGAATTGTTCTTTCATGTCGAAAGATATAGTAGTGCACGTAATGTTATATGCCTCTAGATCTGAAAGAAAATGTACCTATTACTTTCATTTAACATTTCAAAATTATTATATTTAGATAAACTGGCCAATTTTGACCTAAGTATTACATTTCACGAATCTTTATATAGCTTTAAATAGAATATTTTTTAAACATGAAAGACTACTGTACAATAATTTCCAAATGTGAGTGACCATTTGACCAAATTTTGCCCATTATCCTGAATTTTCTCCTCTCCCTTTCCCTCCTAAAATCAGCCATGGCCACCATTACCGTAAACTTCATCAACTCCAATTTCATTCCTTATCCCTTCAAATACCAATTCTTGTCAAACCAAAATTCACTCCTTGCAGATTTCCTAAATCCCAGAAAACTAATCACCTTAAAAATCCAATGTTGTACCAAAACATCACCCAACAAGAAGCCCAGAAAACCACCCATGGACAAGAGTAATTCTTCTAAGAATCCCAATTCCAAACGGGCACCTAACCGCAGAAGATCCTCAACATCCTATGGAACTTCGAGGAAGTCAGTTCTGAAGAAGAGCTTTTCTCAAGAACAGGTGTATTTCAGTGGTCCGGTGTCAAATGACCCCGTGGTCGGAATCATTGGAGGTGGCATGGCTGGCCTCATCTGCGCTCTTTACTTGGAGAAACGAGGGATTCGTTCCACTGTTTTCGATACGGTTAGTTTTTTTTTTTTTTTCGTTTTGATTTTCCAATAGATTCCCATTTCATTTTATGGGATTTTAGCAGTGAAAAGTAATTCAATTTTGTACTGCAATTTTTTGGAAGAAATAGTAAAATGGATTCATTTAGCAGAACCAGAAGCTAGAAATTGGGGGGGCAATATTAGTAATGTTGTGTACTTGAGGAGTACTCTCACGTTTGAGTTTTGGAGGACAATTGCAAGAATAAATGAAAACTTTTAAAATTCAGGGGACAGAATGTGATTCGTAAAATCTTTGAAGTGGTGACCTTGCATATCTGCCAGTGATTCTATGAATGTGGCGAATGCCTGTGGTTGTAAGAAGTTCGTATTGGTTTTACATTTCTTTGTGGGGTGGATGATTTTGGAAACCAATTTTACCATTTGGATGGGAAGTCTACTTCAGAACATGACATGTGGCTTTTGTGTTTTTCCTCAAAGGTTGTACTCCACATTAACATGAGTGCAGAGCAGAGTTGCATAAACTTTAAAAATTTAATGGAGTCAAGTTGTTGATGGAATGAGTCCTTAATGTAGGTACGAATTGGGAAATAGTTGACTGCTAACTCAAAGAACATGTAAAGGGAAACGTGTTATTGGCTGTTAAATACAAAGATAGACTCTTGAACTTCTCTGAGATTTTAGTGGTAGCTTAAATTTGTTTTTGGTTTCAAAAATGACAATGAATTTTATTTTCCCTGTTGATGTATACTAATATTGGACTGTGCTAAAAAAGTATACGCTTTCCAATTATGATTTAGGGACTTCATGGGCTGGGAGGAAGAATGGCAACAAGAATTATCGATCCCGAGCCCTTGATTTTTGACCATGCAGCTCAGTTTTTTACGGTGACTGATCCTGAGTTTGCTAAGCTGGTTCACTTGTGGTCTGAAAAAGGGCTGGTACGGGAATGGCATGGTACAGTTGGTGAGCTTGAGGCTGGTGGTCATTTCACTCCTCTTCCAAGTTCTCCACCCAGATATATAGGTGCTAATGGAATGCGACCTCTTGCAGATACTATTCTATCTCAGGTAATAGCAAATTCAAGTTTTGTTTCTCTTACTTATCAATGCTCCATACATGAACAAGGAGAGAAAATATTGTTTTATGTTTATCCTCCTGCTTTGCAAGTTCTGTGCTCTAAGCTGAGAAGAACTTTTCCACCGATATATGTATCCCCATTGTGCTTTAAAGTATCTAACTTGTATATAAAAGGAGATGCTATGGAAACAAATGATGAAGTAGTAAATGAGAACTTGGTTTAGAAAGAGACTAATCTACAATGTCTTGATACCTGGTGATGATTGAAAATTAAGAATCTTGTATAGAGAACTGCATTCACTTCCTCTAGGATACTTTCTGCCTTGGCCAATTAACATTTTTGCAATGGAGTGACTGCCCTTTGTTTCTCTATCTCTACTATCTCCATTTGTGCTTGAGCTTTGGATAGTATAGACTAAGTGATGATGATTGAGCTAATGAATTAGGTGACAAGAGATGCAACTTATTTTGAGAATGATCTCATAGGGCATAATTTCCCTGATATTGGTTATTTAAGCCCTTGCAGATTCTCAACCCTTGGCTGTCGTACTTCTATATATGTTTAAGTTAATACAGTAGATTCCTGAATGAATAGTGAATTCTGTAAGATGTTGTTATGATCATGTTCTGAGATCTACACAGTTCTGAAATTTGTTCATTGTTGCTTAAGCCTTGCACTCCTAGTTTCTAGCCATGGAATTTTGAGGCATCGGACTAATTGTTGAGAAGTTGTCTCGTATTGTTTTTGTAACTCAAATGCTATTGTTTATGTAACACACATATTTTGATGGAAATTGGCTGCAACCTTTTTTCTTGACTTCTTTTATATTTAGTTGTCGGCAACCTTTTGATGTTGCTTGGATAATGTGAATTGCTCATGGAGATTAACTTTCATCTTAATCCTTTTAAGCTTTAAGTGTGTATTTGGTTCTGTCAATGTCCAAATTGGTTTGTAAGGATCAAAGTTTTACATGTATGCAGACCCATTTGGTTAATGTGGTGCGGCCTTGCTGGGTAAGTACGCTTGAGCCATTTAATGGAATGTGGCACTTGAGTGAGAAGGGAAAAAATTGCGGGCAGTTTGATGCAATTGTTATTGCACATAACGGTAATCATTTTGCTAGCAAGTTTCATCTACTGCTATTGTCATCTCCCTGTTCTCCTTAGAATTTTAAGTTATGTTTTGTGAATTCGGAGCACTCTGAACTTTTCATTGCTAGATTGGATAAAGATTGGGTGGATTAAAGGTGAAAAAACATCTTTTCAAACATAAGGAGGATAAATTTAAGAAGCCTGTTTAAGGCCTTCTTTTATTTTGAAGATGCCTAATGTCTGGATGACCTCTTTGATTCAAATCTGGAAGGAAATCAGAGTTGGGAGAGGCCAACACTTTCTAAAGTATTTGTAATGCCCTGGACCCATGGGCTAGCCTGAGTAACTTTTGAGCTGAAATTACGGGTTCAAAATGGTTTCAGTAGCCCATGGGCCCAGGCTTATATATTAAGGCTTTTCCTTTGTGCGACTCTTTGAAGCGGGGTCTCTCACTCACCCCTCCTTTTAGGACCTTTACGAGGACGTAGAGGTTGGTAACAATCCAAACTGTCTTCTTAGTCGTGCGTGGATTCTAGAGGTGGCTTGTACGGGCTCTAGAGGTGGCCCCGTTGAACGTGACACTCAATCCCGCACAGTATTTAGTTCCTTTGCACTTTTTTGCGTAGTCGGAACTATAACACCACTAGTCCTAGGCTCACCCCACCTCCACGCAGAGATCACACGAGATTCTGATACCATTTATAATGCTCCGGACCCATGGGCTGGCTTTAGTAACTTCTGAGTTGAAAACTTCAAAATGGTTAATCCAAATTATATAATAACCCAAGGGCCTAGGGTTTGCTCTGATACCATTTGTAATGCTCCGGATCCATGAGTTGGCCCGAGTAACTTTGAGTTGAAACCTTCAAAATGATTAACCCAAGTAATTCAATAACCCATGGGCCCAGGCTTATATACTACGTTTTTTCCTTTCCTCAAGTCTGATGTGGGACTCTTTGAAGCAAGGCCTCGCACTAAATGTCACGTTCCAAATCCGATAACCGTATTTAAAAATATTTAATTCAAAATTTGGAGTGCAAGACTCGTATATCCCCCCGTAGGATACAAAGCTATCTATTGAATTTATTCATACAAACCAAATAATTACACAAACCATAGTATAAGCTTATAAAAGTTCCACTCCTAGAAAATCACTCTTATTATTTTTCATATTAAACTCGTAACACACATATATATATATATGTGTATATTACTAGAGCACAAAAGCCATGTAGGTTATGCTTTAGCAATTTTAACTCTAAAAACATACTCTATCACAAAAACTATTCTATAAATCTGCTAGACTTAATTCGCATCTGTAGGAGAGTAAACAAGTGGGTGAGCACCGAATACATCTACTGGATCGAGTATATTAATATCACATAGCATATTTAATAAAGCCATTTTGTGGAATTCAAGCACAATTAGCACATTACATGCATATTACATATGTAATGCACAACTACAGATGAATTCATATTTTATTATTCTTTAATTATAATCTGTGGAGTCTTTTCTCTTTTCACTTTACCTTCAGTTAAAGAATATGCTAGGTTACTATTATATTCTGTGACAGGACCATTATAAACCACTATTCTTTCCCGTGGTAGGGTCATATATCGGTTAAAAACTTAGTTTGGATAATTACTACAGTCACTATTCTTTCCCATGACAGGGCCATTTGTTAACTATTATATCCTGGGAGGGCTGTACCGATATTCAAATGTGGCAATTCTAGAGTCCTTTCGCATCCTTTACTTATTTTAACAAGTCCAATATGCTCAAACATCATAATACTCACTTTTAAATACAAAGTATAATCATAATAGGCACATAATCATCAAACAATTACATATGCTTAAGATGCTTTAGATGCTTTAAATAACGAGCTTAAGATGCTTTAAATAATAGTTCCTTATCTCAAAATCTAATAGAATGTATGACAGTCTTTCTTCTCCTATCTGTCTCCTAAATGCTTCTGATTCTCCTAGTTCTTGGAACACACAAATAGAAGGTATGAAAAGAAGCGAAAGCGGTGCATCCCAATTAATAGTTTTATTTCTACTTTGCCCCTTCATTTCTTTTAATACTTTTAAAAAGACCCCAATTAATAAATTAGTTTCATCCTGAGAGACACAATTTGGGTCATGGGGTTTGGGGTATTTCATCTTACCCTCACAAAAAAATTTCGTCCTGAAAACTTGACATGCCTGATTTATGATTTGAATAGGAACATCCTCATATGCCAAATTTTCTTGTAGTTGCAATGGTTCATATTCTAATACATGGTTGGGATCAAACACATACTTTCATAGAAGAGACACATGGAATACATTAAGTACCCTCGACGAATTTGGAGGCAAGGCAAGTCGATATGCCGAATCTCCAACTTGTTCCAAAACTTCAAAAGGGCTGATACAATGAGGGCTTTGCTTTCCTTTCTTCCCAAACCTAAGTATTCATTGCAACTCAAGATCCCTTCTTTTAAAATCCGCCCAACTCTTTTGTCTATCTTGGGCTGCCTTAATTTTGTCCAAGTACTAGAAGAATCAGGAGTTTTGGGGAGAAAGAGGTGAAGAGAGACTATCATACCTGATTCTATTAGATTTTGTGGTAAGGAAGTATTATTTAAAACATATTAAGTTCAAAGTTGTAAAATTGAGGTGCGAAATTTTGATGGTCTTAATGGCCACTAGTTGGGAGAAATGAGACTTAATAGCTGTAATGAGTTTTATTGGAGTGATTTCTTATATATGTTGCTATTAAAATATAATCAAGCATGTAGTGTAAATATATACACAAAACTAAAAAGATTTTGGAGCATTAAGAGTCAAGAACATTTTGAAATTCAACCATTCCCGTAACAACAGTTAGCTTGGAGCAGTTTTGGGAAATCAACTATAATTTAGTATAGAAAAGTTGAAATTGAGTGTCATCAATTGCGTTTGAAACTAGATTCAAAAATCTTTTTGACGGTATAAAATTTAAGTTCTAGTTCATTTTTTAAAAATACCAGAAAATCTGTAAAGTTGGCTAAAAATCAGAACTTGCACAGCTAAGGACTGAGAAATTGCAGTGACTGGCGGTTTGATTTACACCAATTTATGATTTGAATCTCTAAAAGGTGTTTCTAAAGATTGTTAGTGCTTTGAGTCAGTTTTCAACGACGCAAGTTTTATGATTTTTTGATATATGTAACTCGAATTACAATTTTCAAAGGAATGTTGCCGGTGTTGATATTTCAAATGACAGCATGGTTTCGACATTAGATTTCATTTGTTCACAAGTCAATTGAGATAAATTATGTATTTGACTATTTTTAGGAGGTCTGAGCCAATAGTTAATGTTGTAGTTTTACTATTTTTGGAGATGAGAACAGATTGGTGTGACTTTTGGCACGAAATTAGAGTTGGTCTAGGGATTCAGTAAGTGGCTCTTTCATGTCTCTGTGATTTTTAAAATGTATGCTCTATTTGCTATTTGTTACAAAAAAATGTACTTGATTACAAAAAATGTACTTGATTATCTATTTGCTATTTGCTATTTGTATCCTCTGGGGAGGATATGCCGGTGATGCACTCCAAATTGTAAGTTAAATATTATTAAATACAATTATCGGATTTGGAGCATGACATTTAGCGGTATCAGATAAAAGGTTGCTTAAAACATTAGACATAAATTGTCTATTGTAATTTAAGACATAGCTTAGGAATAGAAAGCATTGTTTCAAAGATTTGTAGATACTAATGGTTTAACTTGTCGAACGTAGTCAAGTTTGTGAATGACCGGAAAGAATAAAAATACTGATATTAATAGCCAGACTCGTGCTGATGAGGTAGAGAATGCAAAGATGGAAGTCCCACTGATAGTCTTAGTTCATAAAAATAGATGACCAAGGTGCACTTAGAGAACAAGAGAAGCTTCTGCTAGTGCTCAAACTGCTGCAACCAACACCTAGACAACCTTTAATGGTAATAGTATGCCAGTAGAAATGGGGTCAATTTTACAAGCTATGGCTCAAGTGATACAAAATCAAAATAAACAACAACTGCAACGGCAACAGTTAAAGCAACAATGGATGCAAAGCATTTATTTTGAGAAACTCCACAAGGCGAATGCTCCAAATTTTGAAGGGGGACCCTTACCCCAATGTGGTGTTGAATTGGATTGCCCAAATGGAGACTAAGTTCAAGGCTCTGAATTTTCCAAACAATATTCAGGTTCAAGTTCCATTTTGAATTGGTGATGCAAAAAATTGGTGGTGCAGAAAATTGGTGGAGATCAGTGGAGCCTATGATGGATGCTAAAGAAGATGCTATAACATGGGAGTTTAGAGATGTTTTTCTTGATCAATGCTATTCAAGAGATTTAAGAAAGAAAGATAAAATGACTTCTATAATCTGAAGCAAATTGGAAACATGTCAGTGCTGCAATATGCAAATAAATTTGTTTTCTGGGACGTTTTTATCCAAAAGCATTTGGAATGAAGGAAAAGAGACGGTAGCTTCGAACAAGGACTAAGGGACAAAATTGAGCGCCAAATGTCCTCCCATAAATTTACAAATGGTATTAGTGCGAATCTCGCATGGTTTTTGCATTGGGTGAGCCTAGGATCAGTGATATAATGGATTTGACCATGCAAAGGAGTGCAAAGGAACTAAGTATTGTATTGGGCTAAGTATCATGTTCCACGGGGGCCACCTCTAGAGCCTGCGGCGCTCTAGAACTTGCGAGGCTAAGTGCCATGTTGGATGGGAGCCACCTCTAAAACCTGTACGAGCCACCTCTAGAGTCTACACACAACTAAGTGGATAGTTTGGATTATGACTGACCTTTGTGAGAACGCAAAGGTCCAAAAAGGAGGGGTGAGTGTGAGTCCCCGCTTCAAAGAGTCCCAGACTCAAGGAAAGGAAAAAGCTTAGTATATAAGCCTGGGCCTATGGGCTATTGAATAACTTGGGTTAACCATTTTGAACCCATTGTTTCAGCTCAAAAGTTACTCAGGATAGTCCATGGGTTTGGGGCATTGCAATATTCGCTGATCATTTGTATCAATCTGATAGTTAAACTGATACAGTAGCTTTGTTTGGAAAGTTTTTGCTTTCTGTTGATACGTTTCCTTCATATCACAAATATACTTTGTGGGTATTGCAAGACAAAGAGACCATTCATTGTTCTTTGTAGCTTCATTAAGTGTGATTTGGCTTTTCTTTTGTTTCATCCATATGTGTTTCTCATTTGTTATGGCAGGAAAATGTGCAAATAGATTGCTGGCATCATCAGGCTTACCACTAATTGCAAGACAAATGAAGGTATGGAAGAGTTAAACTAAAATAGAAATTTTCTGCTGCTCTGGGTTCCCTTTTTTTTGAGTTATTACCCCTGTTGCTTGCAGAGGCTCAATCTGAGTTCCATTTGGGCTCTTCTTGCAGCTTTTAAAGATCCATTACCCCTCCCGGCCAGTGCAACTGCATTTCCTTTTGAAGGAGCTTTTGTGAAAGGAGTTGATTCCATCTCATGGATGGCTGACAACACAAAGAAATTCTTAGGCTCTCATAGCCATGGCCCTCACTGTTGGACATTTCTCAGCACAGCTACTTTTGGAAAGCAGAACAAAGTTCCACAAGTTAGTGAACTTCTTTATTAAATGCCTGATTTTGTTGAAGCATAAACCTAGATCAGATTCTTGGTTGGCACATAGGGTGGGTTTGTAAAATAAGATAGCGTTAAAAAAGTGGTCATTTAGGCAGTTTACCTGATGCCAATTTATTGCTTAGTTCTGTGCATGGTTAGCTGTGATTGATAACCTTCCTTCTTCCTCGTTACTGACAGACCATTATGTTGGTCTTTTAGTCTCTCTTGTGTGCTGTTGATCTTTATCGGCAAATTGGGGGAGTTAGTTGTAACCAGAGAGAGAAGATTTTTATCTTTCCCACATTGTACTCTGTAGGCCAAGGAACTGAACCTTGTCTGGAATCTGAATTACAGATGCATAACCTGTTGCATTTTTCATTGAGTAGATTGTAGAAGAGAGTTAAGGGTCTACTTGAACGAAATTTTTTTTTTTCTTTTTTAGGCAAAACCCCAATAGGGGGAGCTATGCCAGCCCCGAGTTTTATTAAAATATAAATAAAAGATGGTGGGGCACGTAAACTTGATGTCCAATACAAGAGATAGTTTGAAAGAAATGATTTGTTCCATATGTTAAGAGCTAATTTATTGGCTATGCCAGGAAAGTATTCCAGTTGCCACAGCACAGAGGGTGAAGGAAACTATGCTTGCAGATGTTGAGTATGCACTAGGACTACCGAAAAGCTCAATCCAGACACCCATTTTCAGTCGAGTGCAATTGTGGTAATTAATGATGCTCACTAATTTTGTTGGAGCTGTGGCTGTGAACTGTTTGATGCACTTTTTTTTCCCCTTCTTTTGGTGTGTATCTTGAGAATTTGGCTAGATTTTCACCTTTGCTTGGGTGCTACTTCTTGTTCCTCTGCCATGTCTATGCTCTGGTCTCTCACACACATCAGTTATTTGGTTTTCTTTTGCTATCATTTTCTGATGAGGTTGATTCTGCTGAGGTACTCGTGGTCCATGGTTGTAAGCTGGCAAGTAAGCTGCTTAGTCTGTTCTTATATTCTTCACTTAGGATTTCTCTTAAAAGACAACTTGAGTTTTTTCATGAGCTCCTAGCTTTGCCTGTCCTTTTGTTGAGTCATTTTTAGAAGACAATTTTATGTGCAGATCCAGCTAAATGTGTTATTAATGGATGTAGTGATTACGCTTTTAAATAATGTTCATTCCATCCTGGTGCTTTTGATTAGGATTAATAATGTTCATTCAGAAGCTTGTGCAAATTGTCCAAATGGTCATAAAAGGTAAAACAGCTCATCTAGAATTTGATATTTGGCTGCAAATAGACATAGCTTCTCTTGAGCTACTATTTAGTTGACATTGTACTGGTTGACCTTGATCTCAAGTCAAGTGATTGAATGCAGAGGCAAGCAAAGCTCGACGTCTAAACACGCTAACCTCCAGTACTTGCAGGCTAGACAAATTTTTTACAAATATTTTGAAACTATACCATGCAGATCCTTTACACATGGAGACACATGTTTGTAACTAATTATTACCAGCTTACTTTCACAAGTTGACTGTAACAAGTACCGATACAGATCTCTCTCTCTCTCTGAAACCCCTTGTCTTCCTCTATCCATCTCTCCACCCATAAAAGCCTCTCTCTGTTTTATGCGCACACAGAATTGACATCAATCTCTTTTCCCTTAACTTGTACCTATTCGCAGCACTAAATTTGGTATCCATTAGCTAGTACACGGATGAGTATTTTTGCATTTTTGCATGTTTTAAAAAATTTCAATTGACTTTTGCTGTGTTCTGGGAGATCAAATTTTTGTAATTTCTAAACTTGCAGGGGTGCAGCTCTACCTCTAAATACTCCAAATGTTCCATGCATCTTTGATCCTCATGGAAGAGCTGGCATATGTGGTGATTGGCTGCAGGGTTCAAGCTTGGAAGCTGCAGCATTAAGCGGCATGGCTCTTGCTAATCATGCAAGTTCCTTTTCTTTTTCTTGTTCCTCCTTTGTGCGTACCAGTTAATTTCCTGTATTATGTTAACTAAGATTACTGCAACTCTACTGAAGTGTCAATATTCCAATACTTGTATCTATTCAACCCACGTGTTGATTTGATCTGTTGTTACTGGACATGCTCTGAGTAATTTTCTGGGCAAAGGAAAGATATTTTTTTTAGCAGATGTTATAGTCATCGATTCTCTCAAATGCTAAAATCTAACACAGTATGACAATGCAGATAGCAGATTACTTGCAAAGTGGGGGGCAGTGTCCAGATGAATTCGCTGTTGGTTTAGGCAATGAGTTCCAACCACTGAGAGGACATGATATTGGGCAATTTCCAGGATTGCAGTCTGAGGAGGACATAAACAAGCCGCAGGCTGTTCAGCTTAGTGCCTGAATGTACATGTGGGTATAGTTCTATTAGCATATTGTGTTTTTGTTTGCTATTCTCCTTTTTTTTTTTTCTTTTTTTTTGGGGGGGGGGGGGTTGGGGCAACGAACCAAGCTACTCGTGAGCAGCTTGTTCAAATGCTCAACTTGAGTTTGGGTTTGACCAAACTCAAGTCGAGCTCGAGTGTAGTCTTTAGTCAAGTACAAGCACGATGGTCTTATGCTCAAAAGCCCGTCAAGCTTTTCGAGCTTTTGTATATATATTTCTATTTTTTTATGAATTAATTGTAGAATTACTTAAATATCAATATTTCTAAGATTAATTACACGTCCTACCATGTCCTACCAGCTTATCTTTTGGAATAGTCAAGGGGTAATTTTCCATTTTAGATTAATCAAAAAATAAAACAAATTGACCTTTAAACTTTAACCTCTATCATTCTCTGACTATTAGCAAATCACAACTCATAACCCTAAGCAACCCACCACCACGCTCATCACTCACCCTACCAGCACTCCACCACCATTGATAACCACCACCCTTTGTTTCTCAAGCTCAGCCTGTCAGTTCTCACCCCCACAACTGGCACCAACCACAAGTGCATGTCAACCCTCAGCTGCTCATCTTCACCGCTTGCAGGAGTCACAGCATCAGATTCAGCTGCAGATCCTCAGACTCAAAAGCTCAAGATTGATTTTTTTTTTTTCAATCTGAGATGTTGAGTTTCATTTTCTGATTGTTTTTTGTTGAAGAATGGAAAAAAGAAGAGTGGTGGGAAGGAAATAGTGAAAGGGGGGACAATGGATACGGTCCTGGTGGCAAGTCAATTTTGGAATGCTGATGTGTCTCTTTATTTTCCATACAATTTTGATTGTTGGCCTGGTTGGATTTGTCTGGCAGTGATGGTTCATGCTTAATAATCTGAAAAGTAGGTGTGAGTTTTTCTGGCAGTGACGGACCAATTGTTCATGCTTACAATTTCCTTTGATTTGCAAATGATTTCTTGCTTTCATATATGGTTTTTATTGGATATTCCAGTTGAGAGAGATGCTTAATTCATCCTCTAGTTGTTTTGCTTTTGAGAACTTGGATGATTTTTTTGTTCTAGAAAATTTGTCTGGTTTGAAAGAGGTTCCAATATATATATATATATATATTTTTTTGGGGTGGGCGTGGGGAAGGGGAACTGGTTGAGGCTTGAACGAGCTCAAATATTGGTCGAGTCAAGTTTGAGCCTCAATTTTTTTTAATACTCGATGAGCTTGAGCTCAAGCTCAAATTCGGGTATGCTCTTTTGTCTGTCGAGTCAAGCTCGAGTAGGGGTATATTCACCCCTAGTCTTATTTTCAAGTTCAAATGATGGTGCTTGAGTTTATTTTACGATGTGCTAATTGGTATTCTTGGTTGTTTTTATTACTTTTTGTTTCTGGTTCACTTTTTTAACATTAAGAGACAAAATGTGCAAGTGTATAGCAAGCTTTACTTCATCATTGAGCTTGTCTGGAAGCATCCTTAGAGATGTACATCATCTTAATATGAAAACCATGGATGTAAATCTGCATCTGTGGATGAAAAGCAGTAGCTAACCTCTGATGTTGTTGCATGTGCTGAGGCTTGAGAGCTATAATTGTATGGTTCTTCTAGTATGACTCGTGTTGACCATCGGCTCCAGATTTAGATTTAAGATTATAGGTTTCAAAGATCAATGGGTCATTGTTTCATGAAACAATTACTGCTTATTAGATGGTTGACTACATACATGAGCTATGTGCTACTAGATCATTAGAACATAGTCAATAGGTGACCTCCAAAACATGGTCAGTAGATGAGCTCCAATCTTATTTCCCCCCTTTTGCCCACAGAAAAAGTTTTAAGACATGCTTAGTTAGGGATTTCACCATACATTAGATTGAACATCATCAGCAGATATCTATAATTGGTTGTGGATGGAAGGTTTGGGTAGGTTAGGTGATGTCTTGGATTTCTGAAACAGGTTTTTCATATATACTTCATAAATCTCTTGAGCTGCTTATGGTTTTGCTGGATAATCATTCTTGTTGCGGTGAAGACACATGACTAATACAATAATGGAGCTGTTTGTTTTCTTTACTGTTCATCTGTTGTTTTCAAGAAAAGTAGGTCCTGAAGATACCATAATGTGTCAAAAAATGTATATACATATGCAGCAATCCTATATGTCCAAGTTTTCTTTTATGCACTTGCAGGTTTAAAGAGACTGCAGCAGAGCGTTTGTGGATTCAACATCAGGTCTATATATGAATTTGGAACTTGGGCGTTTAACCTAGCAGGCTGGCATCCAAGTCCATGATATAGATTTTTGTGGATGAAGAGATCAAAGAAGCACGGAGTACATAGGACGCAATGCATCTGAGAAAGCAACAACGGTTTGTTGTTTTCTGCTCCGCTCTTATGTGCTGATGGTGGGTGGAACTTTAGATACCAATTCACAATTGTTGGCTGTTCTTTCCAGTAGATGTTGTGGGGATGGAATATGTTAAATGATGATATGGTACTGAACAAAGATCATGTTGAACTGACAGCCACATTTTAGTGATTACAGTCTTGTTTCCAGCAATGTTTTCAGAACCGGACCGGACCGGCCGGTTCGACCGGTTGGACCGCGAACCGGCTATGTCACCGGTCCGGTCTAATGTTTAAGCCGGAAGTTCATGGAGAACCGTTGAAACCCGGACGAACCGTTAAGAACCGTGAACTGGCGGTTTTTTAAATTCTTCAACAAAATATCAAGAATGGTGTAGCTAAGATTCGAACCTGAGTCTCCAAGTTTAAATATGACAATCTTACCGCTAGACTGTACTTAAGTTTGTTGAGAATTCTACTTGACTAAAAAATATATTAAAACATCAAGTTCTTCTCTTATTTTTTTTTTCAATTTTTTCTTCTTAACCATTTTTAACCCAAATATCCACAACAAGATTTTCTCAAGTCTTCACCATTATTATCAGGTTATTATCTTTAGCAGATTGTAAACAAGTTGAAAATTTCAATTTTTCTTGTTTTCCAACATTTTAGTAAGTTTAATTTTTTTCTTTTCAAGGTTTTTTTCTATATTATTATCTTTAGTTGATTTTTTGCATTTTCTTCTTTTTCCCCTCAATTTTCATATGTTTCCCTCATTTTTGTTTTATTTTTATTCGATTAATTAAGGATAAAATTTTTGCAAAAGTAGTGCACATCCGTGTAGGAATTGGGTAGGAATTACAAATAATAACATTGGGTTGGTCAAAAATATGGTAGTTGGCACATAATCGAAGCTATTGATAATTGAATTTAAAATAATTAATGGTATAGGATCATTGAATTTAATATAACATGTTAATTAGTAATGTTTAGTAGCAATTAATTTTTTATGTGTTTAACTGTATATTTGTTTTTCAAAAATTTTTAGTTTTTTTTAGTTTGAGCAATTAGATTTATATTTTTATAATAAAATTTTAACTTTTTCAGCTTAAGTTGATGAAATTGTGAAGGTGGTGTGGTTGCTTATCATGCCACTGATAAAAGTTTGCTATTCAAATAGTTTGTCTTAACTTGAACTCTTTTATGGATTTTTTTAAGGGTTGTAAAAGAATTTCAATATTTAATTTATTTATTTTTTGTGTTTTTATTTGTGATAATTGGTGCACATTTGGATTGTATCTATTTATGTTTATAATGAATTTATGAAAACTTGTGGTGAATTATGATATTTTAATTATATTTATCATTCCATGTTTTGTGTATAACTTTTAGAAAATTTATTATTATCATAACTTAAATTAAGTTATGTTGGTAAAGTTCAAGTGTAGAATGAAACCTGCTTAGTACTTAACACTAAAAAAAAAAAAAAAAAAAAAAAAAAAAAAAAAAACAGTGAACCTTTGAACCGGCCGGTTGGACCGGTCGAACCGCGAACCGGCCACCTCTCCGGTTCACTGACCGGTCCGAGTTTAAAAACATTGGTTTCCAGTCTCTTAAGTTCTTACGAGTTGGTCTCAGCAGGAGAGGTTTTCTTGTTTCGTAGGTTTGACCAAGTTATTTCCCGAATAAATCAATTTTGTTTGTTATATGTTTGGTCCCTTAGATTTCATAGTTCATGTTGTTTGTGACAGCTTTGCAATTCATAGCAGAATCAATCTAAAAGGCGAAGTATTGTAATTTAAACCTCAAACTCACAGGCCTAATGTTTGTTGCGATAAATCTGATTAATTTGAACCAAGATGATGACTAATTATTGAGAAGTTAGAAAAAGACTAATTAAAACTATGGAGGATTAAGGTTGAAATTTTGCCAAATGAAGTAACTTGGATTAATGGTATAAATTCATTCATCAGAGCTAATAAGAAAAACACGTTCAACGTTGCTATGGTTCTCTGGAAGCTGGCCTACGTTTACTTCTATTCCTGGTCTAGAATTTGTTTTTGTTGAGTCCTGTTTAAGTTGATTATGGTGAATATATTTATCAAGTATTATATTTCGGTGAACTTGACAGTTTATTAAACACTAAAGTATATTTTGTAAGATTAGAGAATAAGAAATTGAAAAATAACCACTAGAGGCCATTTTTTAAGTTGTTTAAGAAACCAAAAAAAAAAAAATATATATATATATATATATATATTAAACTAAAAGAAAACTAGTTAAAATTTAAGCTTTGATGGACTCGATTTTGGCATATAATAAGTTAAAAGGGAAATAGATTCAAACACAAATAACATCAGCTCAATCCAAAAAAGTCGGGGGAATATTTTTGAAGAAAGAAAAGAGCTCTAGGACGGCAATGGGTTGTGTCCTGTCGTGTTCATTCGTGTCATTCTCGTTTCCGTGTGAAAAAATCTCAACTCAGACCTAACCAATTAATCTTTTGTGCCATGATTCGTTTATTAATAGGTTAATACGATCCAACCCGTCTAACTCATTAAGTATTTTGAACAATAATAATTGTTGGCAAATAAATTTATTAAACACGCACTCTAATCCATTTACTCTCAGTTATTGAAGAGTTTTCAACGACAAGTTGCACAATAAAGTCTTCAAAGGTTAAAACGTAAAAGCAATTCCAAAATTTCAATGCTAGTTTTCGACAAAAAGAAAATTCATTACTGAAACACTACATAATAAAATACATAACTTAAATAAGATCTAATAAAATCTTCAAAACATAAAAAAAAAATCTTAAGGTTCAGAGTTTTCAATGAAAACAAAGTTTAATACTTCCATACATAATCAGGCATGAAAGTTAAAATAACAAAATAATACAAAACAAAAAAGACGAGGTTCAATTCAGTTATTGGGCTAGCGTATAGACGTGTGGGTTGACTTAACCTAATCCGCATATATTTTTGTCATTAACATGGGATCCAATAATAATCCACTTATATTTAGGTCATATTAATCCTATTAATTTAAGATCATTTTCCAGTCATGCTGCCTTATTGTGCTAGAAATTGCCACCGTCAGAGCTCTTCTTTTGGTTTAATGCAATTTGATACCAATTAATAAACCTAATATCCTCTCTCCTGATTATTGTATAGATTTTAAGAAAGAATAACCAATTGGACAATCTAAATGGATTATCACGAGTAACATCCTAAAATGTGGCATAAATTGATAATAGAAACTATTCAATTTATTAAAAGCAATAATAGATTATTCAACCAAATAATAGGAGTAGAGAATCGAAAAATGTGAGGAATTGTCAAATTCCTCATCCAGATATGAAAAAAGGAATTATGTGATATGATGTGATGAGAGAGAAAATTAAAAAAGAAAATGGAGTGATTGATAAAAAAAATAAAGAAAGGATCAATCATACAAATGTGTACAAAGTTTAAAATTAGTCCATTTTGATCAAAACTTACCAAAAAAAAATGGAAGTCATTGTTACAAAAAATAAATAAATAAATAAAAGCAAGAAATAGGCGTATTTATAAGTTGAACCAAATAATAAGGTCAAGAATTGTACAGATCTTAATGTGGATAGAAAAAGGAATTATACGATTGTGGTTGGGGAGAATTGAAAAGAAAAGAAAAGTATTATTTGAGTGTACGGGTGTAAACGAGTCTAATTAATCCAAAGATTCTAATGTTCAAGTTTTCTAAGCATGAAACTAATTTTGAAGAAGTTGAAATTTGACTTGATTTTCAGCATCTCATGAAACACATGCTCAGCAGGAAGTGGGTACAAACACATCCCTGAATACCTTTTTATTCCTCCACTTCCATAATTAATAGAATTCCAAGTAGAGCTTGATACATAAATAGGATTTAATCGTTTTATATATTGGGAACATTTTTCCCAGTTTCAAGTGAAAAAACCGGAATTGATTTTGTATAATCGGATTTTCTCCTCCACTGTGGCAAAATGTTGCCTAGAAGGCTTTTCTGGAGGTTTGGAGGCTGAGAGCTGGCTACAAAAATGAGCCCTCCAGTTTCTTCCTGGAGCTTTTTCAGGGCCAAGTACTCGGATGAACTTGGTTCCTCTCTATCTTCCTTCCAGTTGAGTTATGGTCACTGCATTTAAAGTTCTTAATCTTTCTTCAGTTGATGTCTCAGACACCCCTGCATAATTGCCTTCTAAGAAGAAACCAGGATGCTTTGGTTGAGGTAATGACACAGTCTCGTTGCTTAACATGATGACGACTGCTGCCATTGTCGGCCTGTCCTCTGGATGTTTCTGAACACACAATAAAGCCACCTGAATGCATCTCAACACTTGGGATTCGACAGATGATTCCTTCAAGCACTCATCCATTAACTGCAAGGCCTTATCTTCAGTCCACAACAGCCATGCCTGGAGATGAAAAAACATGCTAGGCCTGGTCATGTTTAAAAGTATAGAAATTCAGTGTAAGAGAAAGGAGATAGGAATTGCTCTATGTTTCATTACATGCCCTAAAAGACTCTGATGCTGATCTGAATGGTCAAGTGTCCTATTCCTTCTGCCACTCACAAGCTCCAGTAAGAGCACACCAAGACTGAATACATCAGATTTGACTGAATATGTCCCAGAAAATGCATATTCAGGGGACATGTAGCCACTGCACGAAACATCAGATTTTAAGTCAAAAAATGGCCACTTCACAAATCCAGAACTAATGGTTGTCGTGCTTACAATGTTCCTATCACCGTCCTTGTCTTGCCTTCTGTCTGGTCTCCTCGAAAACTTTTAGCAATGCCGAAGTCAGAAATTTTTGGGTTCAACTCATCATCTAGCAAAACATTGCTAGCCTTGAGATCCCTGTGGATAATTCTTAATCTGGAGTCTTGGTGAAGATAAAGAAGTCCCCTTGATATTCCCAGGGCAATCTCAAAGCGTTTTTTCCAAGTAAGCAACTTTTTTCTACTCTGATCTGCAGGCAGGATGTGGTATTATCAGTCGGTTCTCTGTTATTTTTGTCAGCCATCTTTAATTGATCTTAGCTGCTAAAGATTGAAGAAAGAAAATCAGACCGAAGATAAAATAGTCCAAGCTCCCGTTGGTCATGTATTCATAGATTAGCATCCTTTCATTTCCATCAAGACAACAGCCTAGAAGCCTCACAAGATTTCGGTGTTGAAGTTTGGAGATCAGAATAACTTCATTCTTAAACTCTCCCAGACCTTGCCTAGAGGTTTGTGAGAGTCGCTTCACTGCTATTTCTACTCCAGTTTCCAATCGACCCTAAAATATTCAAATAAGAAGTAATAATTTTATTCAATTCTTTTGAAGCTAGAACATAAGTAAGTGTACCTTGTAAACAGGTCCAAATCCACCTTCTCCAATTATATT